GGCATGAGCGCCGTGAAGTACACAACCTGGAAACAAGAGAACAGGCGCGATATTAAAGCGGACTTGTCCTAGAATTTAGATGCATTCTGGGGTTCAGTTTTCCCCAGAATTCCGCCCGCAAATGATTGGGCAGTGGCTGTGAGCTTGTTTTTGGTACACGGTTAGCTGCTCGCCGTTGCTACATGATGCCACTGCTTTGCTTTGGCACGCTGATCAGTAGTTTTGCGGCTGCATGATGCCGCTGAATCATGATCTGATATCATCAGTGATATCAGCGGATCACTCACGCGGCGGTGATACGGTCTCTATAATGCTTAATTTACTTTGCTTTTTTTATTTTCTTTTTAATTTTTCATTGCTGATTACTTCTAACCACCACACCTAAGACTATTCGGTAACACCCAAATCAGTACAAGAATCAATCAAAGAATCAACCGAGATATTGGTGTAATTAACTCTACAACCGATTAAAGAAATCAATCTACGGTGATTCCGAACCAGTCGTGAACAGTGAATATACAAACGATGTCGTATGTTCGATCTGGATTTACCTAACCTTTACGCGAGGGTCTTGACGCCTTTATATAAACGAAGTAAGGAGCACAGTGAATCGTGAGCAAAAGTGCAGAGGCGACGGTCGTATCGCGAGGCTCTGCGCGAGTTTCCGAACTCCGAGTTGTTTGCAGACCCGAACACTTGGTATTAACTGAAATGTCATTCGCATACACATTCAACGTGGAGGACGCGTATTGACTTATTGGGATAACAAGTAGAAAATTTGAAATGTAGAACACTCACTATGGGGGCGGTATTGCTATGAAGAACTGTAGAAATTTGAAATGTGAAGACACACTCAACATGGGGCGTATTGGCTATTGGAACTAGTAAAATTTAAAATGTGAACAGCCATTAACATGGGGGTGGTTGTTTTCATTGAACTAGTCGAATTTTACATTCGAAACACCCAACGTGGGGGATACTGTTACTGGAACTAATATGAACAGTTAAGGGCGCGCGATAATCGTTGATTAAGCAAGCATAAGAAAATGATTAGCGATCCGTTTAAGTCGCATTTCGCCCTTAGAACTGACAAGAACTGCTTCATGCTGCTACTAATAATATAGTAATAATATAAATATAATTATAATATATATATACAGTATCAACGCGTATAAACGAGAGCCTTCTTTATACTCCTCTGATACATATATATATATATATATAAAATTATATATATATTATATTATTATTATTATATAATAATATACTGATAATATCATGCTGCTATACGTTATAAGCGATCGTATAGGACATCTCATTTTCAACCCTTTGCCCAACCAACGCCAACGAACACACGGCGCTCGTGCGATATGACGTCATATGACTCATAGGCCTACTTGTAGTACTCGGCTGACGGCCGCGTGCCGTAGGTAGACGACGTTTCATTGTACGTCGTGCCGTTCCAGCAGTACTCCGTGTTCCAGGCGTTTCCGCACGATGTCCAGGGCAGGTTGGCCGTGAATGAGGCGAACAGGTAGTAGAACGACCAGCTGATGATGACGTTGTAATAGAATGCCACGTAGTAGGAGATGAAACACGAACAGAAGCCGATGCCTGCAAACGTAACATCAACTCTATAAAAGACGCAGAAGCGATTACGTCATGTATTGTATCGTATCGTATCGTATCGTATTGTAACCCAATGTTGAACAGTGCTTAAAATGCAGGATCGTTTTCACAGCTGGAAGTGGAAGTATCAGACAACAGCTAATAAACAGAATGTTACATGTATACAGAACAATATATAGACATTACAATACAGTGCAATATTATCAAACTTTATCATATTAGAAGTTACAATATACAGTACAAGCAAAATAGAGAAGTTAACGCGGGTTTTTCTTTGTTCGTAGTTGTGATGTTTGTGATCATAATATGACGACATCACATTGGAGCGTCTTCTTACGTAACATGCCTTATAATAGTAATGATTGTAATCAAGACATCGCGGTTGCTGAAGAATTGAGTGAAGCTGATCGGATTGTTACCTTTAAATATCGGTGTAATATTCTTCCACACGCCGATGGCACCACGTCTGTGAAACTGTCCAATGATCAGCTCCAGGTATAACAGTGGAACACCGCCCAGTACGAGCATGAGCAGGTACGGGATGAGAAATGCCCCTGAAAGGAAAGGTCATGTAGAGTTTGATACTCGCTAACTCTCTCTCTCTCTCTCACTCTCTCTCTCTCTCTCTCTCTCTCTCTCTCTCTCTCTCTCTCTCTCTCTCTCTCTCTCTCTCTCTC